ATGGATTCCACGCTGAAAAGCCGACTCACTTGAACTCTGATGTTTTTACTTGTAAGAAGAATCGAACCGAAAATGATCGAATCGAGGGTCTAATATCGAAAATCGAATCGAATCGAGGTCTGGGTGAATCGTTGCAGCCCTAGTACGCATGTTCACATTCACAGTTCCATTTTAAAAGTGATTTGTAACTTTATAAATATATTACAATTGATTGATTAATTGATACGTTTATTATTTATTATTATAGGATATTTATATAGCGATCATATCCAGGCAACAGGTACAGGCATGCTCAAGGCGCTAATCAGAAAAATAGAATTCTTTTGGAAATAAAGATTCCATCAAATTGAAACACACCCGCTTGCAAGTTCTGATTTGATTATACAGTCAGGCCGCGGTAATCCGGTCCTCGTTAATCCGAATCCACCGACTTCCGAACGCTACTCACTGGGCACCAAATCATCTCCCTATATATTGTATATGATTGACACCTCGTTAGTCCGATGATTTAGTTTCCGCCTCCGAACGCTGGTCAGTCGGAATGGATTGGACTAATTACGTTGTAAACAGCTGCGTTAATCCGAACGATTGAAGTTGACCGCGCTGCTGACTGGTCCACCCAAAGTGACACGTTGTTTGTTTTGCGACTTAGCGACTCATCCCTTTGATCCCTTTATCATAAGTGATAGGGAAATTTCGACGACCACGCTGTTTTGGGAAAGACTTCAATCCAGAAATATATGCTCGGTACCGTTTCAACACGAATTAAAATTATAAACTATTTTTCGCAATGTTATTGAAAACAACGATTCTCGGACACATGCTTCGGCAGCGGGTCCACAATAACATTGTCAAAGAGCAAAGTAACGATGTTTCGAGGAATTCATTAAATAAATTGAATAAACTAATGAATAAAATCAACAAAATATATACATGAAGCATTTTTGTCACAGGTCATAACGAGTGGGTAGGGCTGGTGTTGAATTAATGTTTTGATCAATGCCGCTGATTTTTATGTTAATCATTAAATATGTTCTTTGTAAAGTTAGTATTATTTACTTCTGTATTTGATAAGATTTGACTTCCTTATCATGATACAGTGGGGCGGTTTGGTTGCAAATTTGGGACACGTATACATCGAATAATTCCAAACATTTCTGAATATGGATCAAACTCAGCAGTGGTGGCAGACAAATCAAGATGGCCGCAAAATTGGCTGAAATCTCTAATGACGTCCATTCTGCTCAATCTATAACTACTCGTTATATTCAGTACTTTTTTCAGGAATATTGGTAACACTGCTGGATGTCATTCACATCAAGTGATTTAAACAATATTTATTCATTATTAAATGAACGGATTGGTAAACAGGCTATAAGCCTATAAAAATACCTCTCCGAATACAATGCGATGGGAAACATTTTATATACATTCATCATTACAGACAAGAGAACACACCATTTGAGGAGTAAAAGACTTAATGAAAAAGACAGTAGTATAATTAATCAATTAGGTAAAAAATCGTTTTGTTAAGGTAAAATAGTCATGTACAGATTTTACAATATTTTCACTGATTTCGTCAGAATATGAGTAACTTCCACATAGTACAGATTGAATATTAAAACCATTTATGTAATAGAAACACTGCGATCGAATTGTATTAAAATTTGGACAGACAAATAGAAAATGAATGGCATCTTCATAGTGATGGCCACAAGTGCAAGTAGCCGTATTTTGAAGAAAACGGTCAAATTTATGGGCGTTTAAGTCACTACAACCAAGTCTTAACTTACAATGAATTATTTGATTAAATCTATTACCAGTGTTTCTGAAGACATGATGTACGTTGGATGAGACAGTTCGATCAAAGTGTTTCCTGAACATGGCAACGGAATCTATGTTTCTTGTATCATTATCTAACTTGTTCCACTACATCACAGAGGATGGTAAAAAGATTTTTTATATGTTTCCGTACGACATAATGGTACTTGAAGCATATTACTAGATCTAGACCCATATCTGGATACAGAGGATATGTTTATTGGAATTAGATCTGATAAATACTTTGGAGTTTTATTATGGAACATTTTATGAAATACATACATTTGGTGGTTTTACGACGTTCCCTTAATGATGAAAAATCCAGTTTCATGGTAGATTTTGGAATGACAAACTCCTCTAACTGATCCACATATAGTTCTTAAAAGCATCTAAGTGAAGTTTTCTAACAATAACTCTTGAGTTTGTGTACAGTTATTCCAAATATAATCACAATAGTCAAAAAGTGGTAAAACAAATGAACTATACAGGGTTTGGAGGGTTTTCCTCTGAAGGCGGTATTTCAGACTTCTTAAACAATTGATCATAGGACTGACTTTAGAAATAATATCATCTATATGTATATTCCAGTGGCCATCACTTAGTAAAGTCAGCCCCAGATGTTCAACAGACTTTATCGGTACATCATTCATTAGTGTCAACAGACTTTATCGGTACATCATTCATTATTGAAGATCTGGCATTGATGTTATCTGTTTTCTTTCTAGAACAATGATAGATTCTATGTTGTTAGTGTTATTGGGAGTGGCATGTAGGGGTAATGGGAGGTTACCATTTAGCTATTATTTCTAAATCATTGTTTAACATATTGGAAGATACCATAGGGTCATCAATTATCACATATAAGGATGTATCATCGGCAAATAATTTAATATTACTCTGTATATCTTCAACAATATCATTGATATAAACCAAAAGAGTAAAGGTCCTAGGACTGATCCCTGAGGGACGCCAGCTTCAATTGATTTAACTTTGACTTATACCCATTTATTACTGTAAACTGTTTTCTATTATTTAGATAACTTTCAAACCATAATAAAAGAGATCCGCGAATTCCACTAGCCCATAACTTATGCAAAAGACCCTTGTGCCAAACCCTATCAAACGCTTTACTTATATCGCAGAATACAGCGCGTACCTCCTTGCCACTATCCATCGCCTTAGCTATATAGTCATACAAATGAGTGAGCTGGTATGATGTAGAATCACCAGTCGTGAAACCTGACTGTAATGAAGTAATAGTTCCATTATCTAGAAAAAATTTGACACATATTTAAAAACACACTTCTCAAATACTTTTGAAAGACAACTAGTAAGTGAAACCGATCGATAATTAGTATAATCATGAACATTATTTTTCTTATAAATTGGAACAACGGATGAATATTTCCATATATCTGGAAATTGAGAAGAGGACAAAGAAATATAAAACAGGTTACAAAGTGGAATAGACAATTGTTCAGCTAAACATTTTAAGACACGATTGCTAAGATGATCTGGACCAGTTGCTTTAGTGATATCAAGCGACAGCAAAATATCCCTTACTTCAACGCTTTGTAATCTTATATCAGTGAGACAATTTTCCACGTTAATATTAGAATATACATTAACATCATCAGAAGAACTGTTAACCGCTGCCATACTCACAAAGTAGTCATTAAAAATATTTGCTTTCTCAATATCATCTTCATAAACAACACCATTGTGTTCAATGTGTGGAAATATCTTAGCTTTATCTGTTTTCTTAAGATAATGTTTAACAATCCGCCACCAAGATTTACTACCATGTTCTGTATTGACAACATTATCAAGTTTTTCAACATACAATGACCTACTTTTACGTATCTCTGAGATAAGCTTATTTCGACTTTTTCTAATTTTTTTCCAATCATTAGGCAAGTTACTACGTTTAGCCTTTCTATGAATTCTATTTTTCTTACGCATAAGTTTTCTTATAAATCCGTTCATCCACGGAGCATCATTTGGACGAATCACAACAGTTTTATTTGGAATATTTGATTTACATAAGTCTGTTAATGTATTAACAAATTTTGAAGCAATGGCATCAACATCATCATTTTGTGTAAGAAAATCCCAATTAACATCAGCCACATTTTGCCGAAAGGAATTTATATCAATATTATCGTAATTATAAATGAATCTTGAATAGGCTTCTTTCATCTGTTTAATAGATTTCAGCGACACGCTAACTGAACAATGGTCACTGCAGAATGGGGGAGTAACATCCGAGGAATTTACAATATCAGGACACGATACAAATATTAGGTCAAAAAGTGTTCTCGATTGTTGAGTAATACGTGTCGCCTCATTTATCAGTTGCGTCATGCCATAAATTGTCTTAATACGTTCAATGTTAGGATCTATTCTATTCAACGAATTAGCATTGAAATCCCCAAGTACTATAGTCTTAATATTAGTATCTATCGCTAAGCCTATTGATTCTTCAATCAGATTCCAGTAGTGGGAACTAGTATTTACACGATAAAACGTACCGACAACATAACTCTTGTTTTTACACGTGATCTGTGCCCACACTGCCTCTAGTCCTGGAAGTTGTAAGTCAGGCCTATGCTTACAGTAAATAAAGTCTTTCACATAAATTGCAACCCCACCTCCCTAGTTTGTCTATCATTACGAAATGGCGGATGAAACCCAGGAATAAGAATGTCATAATTTGAAATACCATCATGCAACCAAGTTTCTGATATACATATAACATCATATTCATGGAGTTCTGCGTAAACTAAGTCTACTTTATCAGTAAGACTACAAACATTAGTATGTACAATACTTAAATCTGAGTTAACTGGTCCCGGGTTAGGGTGAATATCTCCACAACAGAGTATTAATAATAGAGCTATCTGAATACCCCTGACCCCAAGTGTACAGACTAACATCACCAAATAATAAGTAGATATGTCTATTTTACCATGTTCTTTATTTAGGGACTTACAGTGATATACCCCGATTCTCAGCCGGTATATTGAGATGTCAACCCCCATCTAATAATCTTAAAAAGTGACATATTTGTGAGAAAAGGGGTACATACACATGTAAGTCATTATATGTCAGATGTACTTGTGTAAAGATGTTTTTAATCACAAGATGTTCCTCAGTGTGCGTTTTATGTTCTGCTTGATGTCACGAGTCAATGCTTTGTTCAACTAAATTGTAAGGGTGGGTGAGTATGATTCTAAAACCGTAGGGAACTCTACTCAAGTAGTGAATCCAACTCTGGCATTCTGCCAGATGAGACACACCTTCACCACTAGGTATATGTATTTATAGGACATAATATTACACTCCCCGTCTCTGCTTTAGAGTTTGTGGTGCTATATCGCTCCTGTTGTTATCATTATTAGCCGGATATAATAAATTCTGGTTCAGACAAGTCGGTGACAGAAGCATGGCAGCTGACAACATGAAGAACTGTAGAAGACTTTATGGATAATTGAAACTTTCCATTATATGCAAGAGCAATATTTATATACACACACATACACGCACACACACAGGCACACAGATGCATCTGAAACCATAGTTGCCTATAAAAGGTGTGTTCCTGTGACACAATATTCTGGGATATACATCGATGCGTGTGTTATCCCCCTTGTACAGCTTGTTCAGCTTGACCTGATCAAGTGAATACTAATGCATTGCGCGACCGTGTCACAACTGGTTCGAACTATTATTGTCAAGGGGTGCACCTTTGTCAGTTGATTGTCAACATGTCCGAACAACCGAAACAAGGTCGCCGTTTGACATCTCTGTGTCCTAACCTTCTTTATAAAAGATTCGGAGTGTAACGAATCCATGTATGCACGCCACATTCTTTTCTTCCCTATTTAATGAAGTTAACTCGACCAGTCGTTTGTGCAATTTGACCTCCCAAGTCAGGCATATGTAGAGTAACTCAGGTCAAGCTGAACAAGCTGTACAGGTCAATATTTCACAGACTATTTATAGACACAGCACAGACCCCCCTTTAGAACTTTCGTCATTATTGAGTCTTATGAAATGCACCTCACAATTCCAAAGGAAATCAAATCTAATATACTAAATACTGATACAAACACTTGGGTAATCATCGTTAATTTATGGAATCAGGACGTCCATCTAATCTCTGTAGACGAGGGCAGATGCTATTCACCCATGTGTTTTATAACACCTAGTTGGCCTAGGGCAACTCTAGACGATATAACATGCAGGGAATATGATGATGTAAAATGATGACATTACTTACTTAGTTGATGTTATTAACTGCAGCAGGATCTCAGCTGAAATTCTACCTGTCTCACCTGTGTTTTGTACCGGGAAAACAAGATTCAAGGGGAATCCCCTATACACCAGGTCACGTTGTGCGTCCCTGATCACCCATTGGCACATGTCTCACACAATGAAACATTCGTCACCACTCGCCTCTTTCCGTTACCTCAAAGAAGACTGGTCCCCCCCCTATCGATGTTTGTTGTGTTCGAAAATACGACAAACCAGTCAGAACGCGCGTAATTGATGCAGTGCTTTGATAAAAATAATCCCGACTACTCAAATCGTTTATGGCATCATGTCATTGTTTAAAAAACATGAAAATATACATCGTCTTATTGAACGTACTAAGAACGTAGCTAACAGAATTGTGCTTTCTAATGTGAAGTTTTTGATGGGATTGTGATTGTACGTGCGCTTCCAACAGATTTTGGAAATGTAATTATAGATCGCTAAACAAAACAATAACATTATATCTGTATGCAACTTATCAACTTTAATCTTTAACATTGGGCCTATATTTCACATCACTGGGGATATTTTAGTCTGACCTTTTTGGGGTCATTCATATGTTTATCAGCGATTTCATTTAAAATTCCATCGGGGGTGTGACAGCAACGTTACACGAATGTTCAGTTTGAGAAATATTTTAAAGTCATTTTTGAGTATCTGCTTTGGGATTTAATATTGAAAAGATTATTTTATGTGTATGTTCAATAAAAATATATTCCCATTTGTGATTATTAAACCCTATTTAGAAAATTAATATAATTGGAAATATTAGGTGAACAGCTTGTAATAATTACATTAGAATGTGTCTTTAACAAATATGTCTTCTTCTCCTACTTTTAATTGTATCAAATAGGATTATTTCTTTAAAATAAATAAGCAAAACAAAAACAGCAATACGATATGCGAATGCTTTTGTGATGTTAAATTAAGGACCATTGGAATCAAACAGTGAAAGAGTTATCGTTCCTGTTTAAAGTAGGTCTGATGTTCATACGCCAATATGAAATCCTTCCAGAGGGGCAGTGTCTCTATTCTGCTCATACACGAATTGGTCACGAATGGAATGGATAAAAATTTACAACACAAGAGTTCAGACGTTTCTCCTGCAAGAACTCAACTCATGCAAGAAAAAAATACAGAATGCGGGATGACGACGACTTTGGTTCAGCGACATGATCTCAAATTGTCACTGCCCTAGATAATAACTAGCGCTGATAATTCACAGTACTGTCACTGTATGAGAGCCAGAGAGTAGATTGGCTGTATGGGAGATTTATTGACATTTGTATTCTTCTCACATGCTGAATCTGGTTAAACAGTTTTTCATATACTTGCTAATACTCTGTTGTTTAGCCTGTTTAATACAGTTGGTATCTTACAGTAACTCTACATGTAGTATATACAACCGTGCATTAATTAAGCACCACCCTATTTTTAAAGTAAGATGTGATGCTACAGAAAAGTTAGGGTATAACCATCAATTTAATCAACCTGTAGTCAAAGAAGCTTTATCCACTGAGAGTTTTACAAATACCATAACCTTTTCTATTCTTGATGAAAGAACAGGTTGAAGAAAATGTGTTTGGGCTGAATTTTTACCCAAAATAACTATTCCTCTCCTGCTCAAACTGCACAATTAAATTAAGTTTTGACTAAAAATAACAATCTTACTTCATTCATTCCTTCTTTACTTCATTCATTCATTCCATTACTTCTTTACTTTATTCATTATTCTTCTTCACTACGTTCATTCATTCACTATTTACTTCATTTTTTCATTCATTCATTCTTCCATTACCTCATTCATTCATCCATTAATAAGACTAATAACATTTTCATTACAAAAACTCTTACACTTCCCATATTGTATAATGAATGTGTTTGTGTGTATGTTGAGCTTTTTTAACTTATATGTGTACATAAACATGACTTATCCATCCATTTATTCATTGCTGCATTTCTCCATTCATCATTCATTCTTTCATTTCTTCTTTACTCTATTCTGTCCGTCATTACCTCATTCATTACGTCATTAATTAAATTATTGCTTCATTCATTATGTCACAATTTTATTCATTACGTGATTTATAACTTATCAATAATTATTTCATGTGTGGTGTAAGAGTGGGTGCTAGAACACATCCCACTCTTCCACTAAATTAAGCGTCGTCTCAGCAGACAATATATTCTCTATAAAGCCAGGACATTTGAAACATTTCATCAGATCACAGTTTAAATGAAGTGATGAACACACACACACACACACACACACACACACACACACACACACACACACACACACACACACACACACACATAAATAAAACTAAAACAAACAAACAAACAAACAAACAAACAACAACAACAAACAAACAAACAAAAAACAAGAAACAACAACACAAACACACACAGCGGGAAATGCACAGACACATAAACCAACAAGCAATATCTATCCCTAGCAGTTCCATATTGATTCAATTCCAAAGATATTTAAATCAGTTCACGTTAAACGTTCTCTCAGTTGTCCGATAGTATTAGATGCAGTGGCTCCTTCCGCACGCCATCCATGTGTCGTTAGTTTCCAGTATTATTGTCTCATCTTCCTGTTCCGATTCTTACCTCAGAGCTCATCACGGGACGCGTCCTCCGGGTTACCTGGTGTGATGGGTTTCCTTCTTACAGACTTCCTGTATGTCCATTTATCCTCGGCTCTGAGTTCAGCTTCCGTCTTCTCCATCATCTCCTTGTCCTCACCAGCAAACTCCTCAGCATCTTGAATCATCTTCTCCAAATCTTCAGGAGAAGGCCTCTCCCCTTCGTCATACTTAATGACAATGTTGTTCTTATTTCCAGTCCCCGTATCTTCAGCTGTTACGTACAAAATGCCATTCATGTCTATTTCAATGGTAACATTAATTTCAGGAACCCCTCTGGAGAGCATGCTGAATACCTGTAAGGTCAAATTGTCCAAGGAAAATGTTGTTCTTTGTAATGCCCTCTCGCCTTCAAAGACGCGAATTGTCACTTCATCCTGGTCGTATTCTGTTGTTGTAAACTGCTCTGTTCTTCTGGTGGGGATCAATGTGTTGCGCCGGATGACCTTTGCCATGACGCCGCCAATGGTCTCTATGACGAGGCTCAATGGGCTGAAGTCGCAGAGTGTGATGTAATTGTCGCCATTCCCAGCCATGACTCCTCCCTGAACAGCGGCTCCGTAAGCTACAACTTCTTCAAGGTTGATGCCTCTGTTTGGTTCCTGGAATACAATGACAATGACACACTACAGAGATCACAACCATAACCCACCCATACAGGGTATCGAAATGCACGACCTAACATACCGATTCTGGACCCATTTGTACATTGAAATCTGTTTCAGGGCACGAAGATCATTCAGACATCAAGTTAATGTTAAACCTATACCTCCCTTGCCCACTCTACCTGTACAGAAGGTAGCCGTGTATTTAGTACTTGAACCACGTGTGTGCATGGATGAGACTTCGTCATGACCTGATCATGACGTTCAAGTATTTATTCTACCAACCCAACAGTGCTGGCAATGGTCAACCTTTTCTCAAGGTAGACGAGTCTCTCATCACCTACCAAGTACCTGAACCACTTTGCTGACCAGTGTGTGGACGGTTGAAACCCACTGGAACTCATCTTGACCTGCAAGGGTTTACCATACTAACCCAATTCTGTTGGGCTTGATCTTCCTGTACACAAGGTAGCCATGCCTCATCACCTAGTGAACCACTATAGCTGGCCTTTGTGTGGTTGAAACCCCTTGGAACTATTCTTGGCCTTTAAGTATGATTCCACAAACCCAATTTTGTCAACAGCCAGCGTTGCAAGTCAGTGAACTATTTCACAATACAGTGTTAGGTTATTGAATTTAACTGACACTGAAGTGATTCTAATATCACCGAGGTCGACTCACCTTCCCATCAAGGAACTCCTTCACCAGTTGCTTAATCTTGGGTATCTCACTTGAGTCTCCGACCATAACAATCTCATGGATATTCGTCCTGTTCAGATATGCGTCATCCAAAGCTGACTGCATATAATTCAAAGTTGATTTGAAAAGGTCCTGACAAAAGAAAAAGTAAACAAATTAGATATAATATGATAATGCATCATCATTCAATTGCCTCAATACCTTAGTTATTGCGTATAAAGAGATACTGCTTGTAACCCATCGACTATCAACCGACTGGTCAGAGAGAACATCAGGTAGCTTTTGCTCAATGTATTCCTTTATGGTGTTCAGCATTCGTGGATGATACGTGATATCACAGGTATGTGTTAATCAACACTGAATGTTCCACTGTAGTCAAAGATGCTGATTTCAGTCATAATCATGTAGTTGAGCTAATTGTGGTATGGAACATAGAACGCTGCGTCACACAATAGTGAAAGATTTCTAACACTGAAATTAGCTAGGCCTTGTGCCACAGAGCAAGAGTCTTTGTCTAAATGAACTGCAGGTACGATCGAGTCAGCACAATGGTCGTTGTAGAGGAATGAGGCCCGGGTGATTTGAATGTCAGAATGTGTTTATTACGGTCATGGACGTTTTGCGTTTGTGTGACCTGCAAAACAATATTTAGACGTATCACTTGAACTCTTACCATGTTCAGTTCCTCCAGTTTAGCTCTAGTGAGGACTTCAGAGAAATCATGACCGCCCATGATAGACTCAATCTCCACCCGAGTCTGATGCTGGGAGGACAGGGCTCTCTTCGCTTTCTCCACCTCACGACGCAGTTTCTGGATGGCCCCGCTGTTCTCTAGTAGGTCCTGCCCCGTCCTCGTCTTGTATTGTTTGATGAAGTACTCTATCAGTCTCTGGTCGATGTCTTGACCACCTGACAGAAAATGTACGGCAGACATGGAATGACATACGTGCTATACGACACAATGTGTTTTTTTTCTCGTTTCTTTCAAAAGTGATGCTGTTCATTAATTTACACAACAGAATACATAGAAAATGAAGGTATGGGAAGCATGTGATGACATAAGCGAAATTTGACACTA